CGTTTTATCCTTCTTTCCCGCTGTATGGTATTCCCTTTCCTGTATGTACCACACCTTCACAATCCTCTCATCTCTCCCGGGGCATCTGATGTCCCAGCTACTGTGCGAAGTGCTGAGCTGAGTCATGGTGTGCAGATGGCCTTGGGGATGGGTCTATTTGTGGGATTGCTGAGTCCTGAGGCAGAAACCAGCCACCCTCACTCCCCATAGCTTTGTTTCAATCCCCTCGTGTGAGCCCGGAACTGTGTTCCAACTCGCTGCCCACGCTCTCCCCGCCGGGGTCTCTGGAACTGTCAACTCCCTCCGTCCTTGGCGCAGGGTGCTGTCTCCTTGCTTCTGTGTCTCTCCTTATCAGATGCTGGTTAGACTTTTCAGTTCCCTTTTCCAAGTTGCTGTTGAAAACATTTCCAACCTTCCTTAGAGCCCCATCGTACTGGAGAATTTCTTGCCTTTTTCTCTCACGTCTTAGACATATCGATGAGTGGATAATGCAGTTTGGAGTTGTTTTTTTTTTTGCTTTTTGGGTCACACCCGGTGATGTACAAGGGTTCCTCCTGGCTCTGCACTCAGGGATCACTCCTAGCGGTGCGGGGGGACCCTACGGGATGTTGAGAATCGAACCTGAGTTGGCTGCGTGCAACACCCTCCCCGCTGTGCTGTCGCTCCAGTCTCAGTTTGGAGATTTTTAACTTTCCTTGCTTATAAATAACCATCAATCGAAAGTCAGAAACTGTACGTACTTTTTTCTTCTTTCTTTTTTGGGTCACACCTGGCAATGCACAGAGGTTACTCCTGGCTCTGCACTCAGGAATTAACTGCTGGCGGTGCTCAGGGGACCCTGTGGGATGCTGGGAATTGAGCCCGGGTCAGCCGTGTGCAAGGCAAACACCCTTCCCACTGTACCATCACTCCAGCCCCGTGTACATTATTATTATTATTATTATTTTTTAAAGAAAGCGGTGTGAATACTACAGTCCGTAGACCCTTGGGAGTCAGGGTTAAATACCCCTTGTTATTACAGGAGCCCTTGAAGTAATGAAAAACTGTAAGGAAGCAAAAGTCTATTCCTGGAAAGGAAGCAGGAAGTAAGGACCCGAGTCTCGGTCTTGCCAGGGGCCGCAGGGAAAGAAAATATGACATTGTCAACTTCTTTCCTCGATTTTCTCAAGTACAGCCCTGCAGGGCAGATTAGGAGAACAATGCCTGTGAGGGCTGGAAGGAAACCCTCTGGCCGATGGATACAGATGGATTCCGAGGGAAACAGGATATAACGGCATGGTGACATGCGGGCCACTTCTTCGGGGTTCCGACGCTGTCCTGCAGCCAAATCCTGGTCAGGTGTACGCCCTGATTTGATAGAAGCACCGAGCAAAAGCCCAAATCAAATAATAAAGGCCTGGCAGAGCTGACGGGAATAATACATGAATATTATGATTAAGACCACAGAAGGCCTCTTAAAAAGGTCTTAGGTGTTAAATCAGGGTCTTCTGTGTTTTTATCTACCAAATTAAATGATTTTTATACATATAAAATTGGCTAATAAAAAAGGGTAAGGTATAATGAAAATAGAACACAGATAATAAATACTGGGTGCGGTTTTAATATATATGTTGAGGAAGCAGTTTTATTTATTTATTTTTAATTTTTATTAGTGAAGCACCATGAGGTACAGTTGTAGACTTAAAAATTTTTGTGCTTGGGTTTCAGTTATACAATGATCAAGTACCCATCCCTCCACTAGTGCCCATTTCCCACCACCACGGGTCCCAGCATCCCCCCCACCCCCCATCCCCCCCGTCCTACCCTGCCTCTGTGGCAGGGCATTCCCTTTTGTTCTCTCTCTCTCCTTTTGGGTGCTGTGGTTTGCAAAAGAGGCATCTTTGGTCCGTAGTCTACTTTCAGCATGCATCTCCCATCTTGGGAGGAACCTCCCAACACCCTTTATTTGGTGCTCCCGAGGAAGCAGTTTTAGGTATTAAATCCAAAACTCTGAAACCATTGCTAACCATTGCTATTTCTTTTTGTTTGTTTGTTTGTTTTTTGGGTCACACCCAGTGATGCTTAGGGATTACTCCTGACTCATGCACTCAGGAATCACTCCTGGTGGTGCTCAGGGGACCCTATGGGATGCTGGGAATCGAACCCGGCTCGGCCGTGTGCAAGGCAAACGCCCTCCCTGCTATGCCCCTGAAACCATTGCTTTTGATTTTTAAGAATAAGTACTGTGTGCATCTAAAGCAAGATTCAGTCTCGTAAGCTCTTCACTTTTCGAAAGATGTTCATTATGTCATTTTTTATAATAGAGGTCTTAAATATAATAAGCACACTATATTTCATAAAAAAATCTCACAAAATGTTGTGTAGAGTTGAAGAGCAGCGTTACAGAATCTGCCTTGAAATCTGGTACCTGTTTATAGTACTCAATCATAGATTGTGAATTTCAGGTTGTTAAAAAAAATCTTTTAAATTTGTCTTGTTTGCTCTCCAGAAGGTATCGATTAGGGAACGAAACAAACAAAACCCAGCAAAGCATAAAGACCAGGAAGGATGTAAACTTTGGGGGCTGGTCCTCGCAAGTAAAATGCTCAGGAGGGGACTGGCACGCGGCCGACCCGGGTTCGATCCCCGGCATCCCCTAGGGTCCCCCGAGCACCGCCAGGAGTGATCCCTGAGTGCAGAGCCGGGAGTCAGCCCTGAGCATCACCAGGTGGGACCCAAGAAGCAAAAAGCACTGTCCTCCTGTTGTTCATTGATTTGTTCGAGCGGGCACCAGGGTCCCCATGTTCCCTCCCATCACCCCAAATCTGCCTCCCTCTGTGGCAGGCACTTTTCCTCTCTCTGTCTTTCTGTGTCTCTCTGTTTCTGTCTCTCCATCTCTATCTCTGTCTCTCTGTCTCTATCTCTCTCCCTCTGTCTCTCTTTGTCTCTGTCTCTCCCTCTCTTTCTGTCTCTCCCTCTCTCTGTCTCTTTCTCTCTGTCTCTCTGTCTCTCTGTGTCACTCTGTCTCTGTCTCTGTCTGTCTCTTTGTCTCTCTGTCTCTCTCTGTCTCTATCTCTCTCTGTTTCTGTCTCTCTGTCTCTGTCTCTGGTCTCTTTGTCTCTCTCTGTTTCTGTCTCTCTGTCTCTGTCTGTCTCTGGTCTCTCTGTCTCTCTCTGTTTCTGTCTGTCTCTATCTCTTTCTCTGTCTCTCTGTCTCTATCTCTCTGTCTCTCTGTCTCCCTCTGTCTCTGTCTCTGTCTCTCTGTCTCTCTATTTCTGTCTCTGTTTCTCTATCTCTGTCTCTTTCTGTCTCTCTGTCTCTGTTTATCTGTCTCTATCTCTCTTTCTGTCTCTGTCTCTCTCTGTTTCTGTCTCTGTCTCTCTGTCTCTGTCTCTCTCTCTGTCTCTCTGTCTCTGTTTATCTGTCTCTGTCTCGCTGTCTCTGTCTCTCTTTCTGTCTCTGTCTCTCTCTGTTTCTGTCTCTGTCTCTCTGTCTCTGTCTCTCCCTCTCTCTCTGTCTCTCTGTCTCTGTTTATCTGTCTCTCTGTCTCTCTGTCTCTCTCTGTCTCTCTCTGTCTCTCCCTCTCTTTCTCCCTCCCCCCTTTTAGCCCTGGGTCTTAAGGCCTAGGAAGTGCCCATCACTCCTGTGATCCCTTTTCCTTGTGTCCTCTGCCTTCCTCCATCTGGAACTTTCCAATCTGGAAGGATCTCCGCATCGGGCCGCAGAGGAACATGGAAGCCGGGTCTGACGGGGCCGCTGACAGTTCACAGGCCGGGCTGGGCTGCTGGGTTCCCGGCCTGGCACACCCGCCTGGGTCTGGAGTCAGGCGTCTTCTCCGCCTTTCCGTCTTCTGGGGACTCTTGTTGCCTGTGCTGCGGGCCTGTCGCTGCATGCAGGGGGGCAGATGTTAACATCGGCACAGTGATGGGTTTGAGCTATGGGAATTCCAAACCTGCAGGATGAATTTGGGACCCATTTAGAGTCCAGCCACAAAGTAGGTGCTCAATTAAATTTCTCCACAGTGGGGAACAGTTACCTGGGTGTGTGTGTGTCTCCCAACTCGGCTTATGATCAGCTGCTGTTTTCTTCAGGGGACGACTGGGTCACACCTGGTGACACTCAGTGGCTACTCCTGACTCTGTGCTCAGGGATCACTCCTGGGGTTGCTTGGGGACCAGATGGTGCTACAGAGAAAACAAGGGCTGGCCACATGCAACCACTTTAATCCCCCGGAATCATCCCTCTGGCCTCTGTGGCAATTTTTTATTCTATTATTTTAATAATTTTGGGGTCTTTGGGTCACACCCAGTGGTGCTCAGGGCTGTCTCCTGCCAGGTTCAGAGAACCACATGACCTGCCAGGGATCGAACCCGGGTCTGCCGCCTTGCAAGGCTAGCAGCTCCCCCCCGCCCCCGTCCCACCTCCGCCACCCTATATTATCTCTCCAGCCCCCAATTCCGCAACAGGGAATTATCCGTTCTCAGGTAGTTGTCACCAAGAAAGGTTCCTGGTAGGACTTTGCTGTTTCTATATATTTTTTTATTTTTCTGTTTGGGTCCCACCCGGCGATGCTCAGGGCTGACTTCCGGCTCTGCACTCAGGAATGACTCCTGGCGGTGCTCGGGGGACCCTAGGGGATGCCGGGGATCGAACCCGGGTCAGCTGAGAGCAAGGCAAACGCCCCACCCGCTGTGCTATGACTCCAGCCTCTCACATTATTATTATTAATTATTATTATTATTTTTGGGTCCCACTGGCGATGCTCAGGGCTGACTCCCGGCTCTGCACTCAGGAATGACTCCTGGTGGTGCTCGGGGGACCCTAGGGGATGCCGGGGATCGAACCCGGGTCGGCCGCGTGCCAGGCCAACGCCCTCCCTGCTGTGCTGTCCCTCCAGCCCCACTTTGCTGTTCTGACATTGAAAGAGACACGATGTGTGTCGTAAGAACACACTTGCCAACGGCAGTCTTGAAAAACGATTGATTTCGCTTTATTGATCGGCATCATTTTCCTCTTGGCAGAAATTGGCCCGGTGACCATCACCACGGATCCCAAGAAATTCCAGTATGAGCTCCGCGAGCTGTACGTTCAGGTGAGTGCCCGCTGCCGTTCCTTCCTCTCGGGGGCTGACCTTCCCATGCTCTCGGACCCGCAAAGGAGGCCGGTTGGTGTTGCCAGTGCTTTGTCCTGGTGGTGCAGTGTGTTTGGGTGGACAGAATGAGGCACACTTGTCCTTTCTTGCCACCTGTGGCCACTTCCCGCAGCTGTGACTCTGCGTGCTTTACCCTGGAACCATCGTCGGCAGGTCTAGGGGAATGAAGAGTCCGTCACTTCAAATCCTAAGGGACAGTTCATTCCTTTTTTTTGGGGGGTTGTTTTAATTTTATTTTATCGAATCACCATGAGATGCAGTTACAAGCTTTCCTGTTTGAGTGTCAGTCACACAATGATGGAACCCCCATCCCTCCACCAGGGCACATTCCCCACCACCAATGTCCCCAGTATCCACCTCCATCCCACCCTCCCCCTGCCTCCATGACAGACAATCTCCCCCAGACTCTCTCTCGACTTTGGGGCATTATGATTTAATATCTATCTTATTACCTAGTTCTTACTCTGGACAACTTGGCAGTCTACCGAAAGTAACCTGCCCACACGGCAGAGTCTGGCAAACTCCCCGTGGCGTACCCAATAGGCCAAAAACCAGTAACTATGATGGGTCTCATTCTCCTGACCCTGAAAGAGCCTCGAATGTGGCACTTTTTAAAAATCTCAGGGCTAGGACGAAGGAGACGTTACTGGGGCCTGCTCGAGGCAATCGATGAACAACAGGATGACCGTGATACAGTGATGGTTTGCAATACAGACACCGAGAGGCCGTCACGTTGGGTCCTTGATCTACTCTCAGCACACGTCTCCCGTCCCGAGCGACCCCTCCAGCCATCACTGACTCAGTGGTCCCTTCTCCATCCCAGCTGCCTTCTCCCCCAGCTCATGAGGTGGCCTCCAACCATGGGGCAATCTTCCTGGCCCTTGTGTCTACGGTCCTTGGGTGTCCATCTCATGTTATGTCATTTTATATTCCATCAATGAGTGCAGTCCTTCTCTGTCTGTCCCTCTCTCTCTCTTCCTCTCTCTCTCTCTTCTCTCTCTCTCTCTCTCTCTCTCTCTCTCTCTCTCTCTTTCTTTCTCTGTCCTGGACGAATGTGTCCAATGCTCAAAGGAGTGCCAGGAGGCAGGGAAGTGTGATGCTGTGATGAGTTTTGGGGTTCGGGGAGCACTAGGTCTGGAGGCTGATAAGAGCATCCTGGGTGCAAGAGTGAGAACTCAAGTGGGCTTCATTCATCATGGTCCTTCCGTTGGCTTATCATGACTCTTTTATCATGATTCCATTGATACGTTGCGATCCTTCTGCTGGGATCGTCTATTTTACTTTGTTTAAAAAAATTATTGGGGGCTGGAGAGATAGTCCAGCTGGGTTGGCGTTGGCCTTGCATGCGGCCGACTCGGGTTCGATTCCCAGCATAGGATCCCCCGAGCACCACCAGGAGTGATTCCTGAGTGCAGAGCTGGGAGTCAGCCATGAGCATCACCGGGTGGGACCCAAAAAGCAAAAAAAAAAAAAAAATAGTGTTTTTATAAAGTGGGCTGGAGCGATAGCGCAGCGGGTAGGGCGTTCACCTTACAAGCGGCCAACATGGCCGACCCGAGTTCGATTCCTCCGCCCCCTCGGAGAGCCCGGCAAGCTACCGAGAGGATCTCGCCCGCACGGCAGAGCCTGGCAAGCTCCCCGTGACGTATCTGATATGCCAAACACAGTCACAACAAGTCTCACGATCTGTTGTGAGACGTTACTGGTGCCCGCTCGAGCAAATCGATGAACAACGGGAGGACAGTGCTGCGGCGCTTTACAAAGTAGTTTGCGGGAGTCAGCCCTGAGCATCGCTAGGTGTGACCCCTTTCAAAACACAAACCAACAAACGAAAGGTTGAAGGTTGAAGCATGTGCGTTGCAGGCAGGAACCGCTGGTACCACATGGTCCCCCAGGCACCATCTCTGATCAGTGACCCAGGAGTAGCCCCAGAGCACTGCTGGGGTGCACCCCTCCACTCCCCTAACAAAGCAAAATAAACTGAATCCATAGTCACAGCTAAGAGTCTCAGGAGGCCCCGGAGAGCAGAGTGTTGGGATTTGCTGCCTAGTCTTTTATTTTTTTCCCCTTTCGTCTACAAGAATCCAACTGGGCCGTCTTCTTGGCTCAGCAAGGGAGTGAAATACTTACATTCCCGTCCCAATTTCCTGCCTCTCCCTTTCTTTTGTGTTCGGAGACCTTTGCGGGGTTGTGGGCTTCAGCCTTCAACACCAGGATGAGGGGTCTCCACTCCAGATCACCCCCCACCCTCTGAACTTGAATCTGACACCGGTCTGGAGGGCCTGAGTCCTATGTCTCTCCCTTCTCCCTGGGGTGCAGTCTCTCCCTTCTCCCTGGGATGCAGTCTCTCCCTTCTCCCTGGGGTGCAGTCTCTCCCTTCTCCCTGGGATGCAGTCTCTCCCTTCTCCCTGGGGTGTAGTCTCTGCCTTCTCCCTGGGGTGCCTCTCCCTTCTCCCTGGGGTGTAGTCTCTGCCTTCTCCCTGGGGTGCAGTCCCTCCTCCCTGGAGCGCAGTCTCTCTCTTCTCCCTGGGATGCAGTCTCTCCCTTCTCCTTGGGGCACAATCTTTCTCTTCTCCCTGGGGTGCAGTCTCTCTCTTCTCCCTGGGATGCAGTCTCTCCCTTCTCCTTGGGGCACAATCTCTCTCTTCTCCCTGGGGCGCAGTCTCTCCCTTCTCCCTGGGGTGCAGTCTCTCCTCCCTGGGGCGCAGTCTCTCTCTTCTCCCTGGGATGCAGTCTCTCCCTTCTCCCTGGGGTGTAGTCTCTGCCTTCTCCCTGGGGTGCAGTCTCTCCTCTCTGGGGCGCAGTCTCTCTCTTCTCCCTGGGATGCAGTCTCTCCCTTCTACTTGGGGCACAATCTCTCCCTTCTCCCTCGGGCGCAGTCTCTCCCTTCTCCCTGGGCTGCAGTCTCTCCTCCCTGGGGCGCAGTCTCTCTCTTCTCCCTGGGATGCAGTCTCTCCCTTATACTTGGGGCACAATCTCTCCCTTCTCCCTGGGGCGCAGTCTCTCCCTTCTCCCTGGGGTGCAGTCTCTCCTCCCTGGGGCGCAGTCTCTCCCTTTTCCCTGGGGTGCAGTCTCTCCTCCCTGGGGTGCAGTCTCTCCCTTTTCCCTGGGGTGCAGTCTCTCCCTTTTCCCTGGGGTGCAGTCTCTTCCTTCTCCTTGGGGTGCAGTCTCTCCTCCCTGGGGTGCAGTCTCTCCTCCCTGGGGTGCAGTCTCTCCCTTTTCCCTGGGGTGCAGTCTCTCCCTTTTCCCTGGGGTGCAGTCTCTCCCTTCTCCTTGGGGTGCAGTCTCTCCTCCCTGGGGTGCAGTCTCTCCCTTTTCCCTGGGGTGCAGTCTCTCCCTTTTCCCTGGGGCGCAGTCTCTCCCTTTTCCCTGGGGTGCAGTCTCTCCCTTTTCCCTGGGGTGCAGTCTCTCCCTTTTCCCTGGGGCGCAGTCTCTCCCTTTTCCCTGGGGTGCAGTCTCTCCCTTCTCCTTGGGGTGCAGTCTCTCCTCCCTGGGGCGCAGTCTCTCCCTTTTCCCTGGGGTGCAGTCTCTCCTCCCTGGGGTGCAGTCTCTCCCTTTTCCCTGGGGTGCAGTCTCTCCCTTTTCCCTGGGGTGCAGTCTCTCTCTTCTCCCTGCTGTGCAGTCTCTCCCTTCTCCCTGGGATGCAGTCTCTCTCTTCTCCCTGGGGCGCAGTCTCTCCCTTTTCCCTGGGGCGCAGTCTCTTCCTTCTCTCTGGGGTGCAGTGAGAGCTGGCATCCTTGATTCTAATGGTATTAAGCTCAGAGTTGTCTTGGGACCCAAGAACATGCTTATGGTAGGGTAGAAACCAGAGAATATCCCCCTTCTTGGGTCCCCGGGGGTCCATCAGGGAAGTGCTTTTCCTCCCAAGGTGGCTGTGTTTTAAAAAAAATTCTGCCTTGATCTCACTCCCAACCCCACTTTTATTTTATTAAAGCACTGTGCCTTGATTTTTCTTTTTTCTTTTTTTGGTAAAGCAAGAGCAAATTTTTATCCAGTAAGGGTCACCTAGTTGGAACCGATTTTGTGTTTTTCTTCAGCGGTTCCCCGGGGGGAGGATTAGAAGAGTTTCGAACAATGTCTCTGGCTTCTTGAATCACAACTGTGTGAGTTGAGCTTCTGCTTCCTGGGAGTAATTACCCCACATTTATTGAGGTCCCTCTCTGCCTGTCAGTTCCCCCCAAGTCAAGGACTGAATTTGGTTGTTCCTAAGAGGGAATCTTGAAGGAAAAAAAAAAGTCCTTCTTTTTGTGTTAAGAGTTTCGCAGTTGGGGCTGGAGCGACAGCACAGCGGGGAGGGCGTTGGCCTGGCACACGGCCGACCCGGGTTCGATCCCCGGCATCCCCAGGGGTCCCCCGAGCACCGCCAGGAGTGATTCCTGAGCACAGAGCCAGGAGTCAGCCCTGAGCATCGCCGGGTGGGACCCAAAAAGCAAAAAGCACTGTCCTGTTGTTCATCGATTTGCTCGAGTGGGCACCAGTAACGTCTCCATGGTGAGCCTTGTCATTCCTGTGTTTGGCATCTCGAATACATCACGGGGAGCTTGCCAGGCTCTGCCGTGCGGGTGGGATACTCTCAGTAGCTTGCCGGGCTCTCCGAGAGGGGCGGAGGAATCGAACCCGAGTCAGCGGTGGCGTGCAAGGCAAACGTCTTACCTGCTGTGCTATTGCTCTAGTCTCCAAAAGCAAAGCAAAACAAAACTAAACAAGAGTTTTGCAAAGCAAGAACCTCCCATTTGAAGTTCACTGCATAGACCCCCCACCCCACCCCAACCCAGCCCCACCCCGCCCGTGGCCAACACCGCCAGGGGACACCAGCCTCAGCCCCAGACTTTTCTCATGGAAATGTGGAATTCACTTGAACAACAACCATTTGCAATTTTCCAAGAAAAACTTGAGCAAACAGGCCCTCCAGTGAAGTCACTGAATTTATAAGACGGATT